AAAGAAAAGAAAAAAGTGTACCACTTGGGGCCATCAGGTGGCATAGTGGTAGAGGCACCAGACTCCCATGTGGTAGACTGTGAATTGAGTCCTGGACACTGCAACTTGAAACTCATGCCAGGCACATGTGCAGGTGTACCCAAAATCCCAGGAGGGTAATGGAGAAGGGCTTATGGCATGGCCATCCCCTTGGGGGGTGATTTCTCACTTTTTGTCCCTTCATCTCACTATGTCACTCCAGCAAGCTCACCATCTTATAGCCAAAGTCTCTAAAAAGGGGGGGGGGGAAGGGTAGCAGGTGGCATAGAGATTAAGACAATGGACCCCCACATGATCAATGGTGGTTCAAGTCCCAGACCTGGCAGCTTGAATCTTGCTATAGATAGCAAGTAAGGGACTAGCAGAGGGTGTAATGGTTATGTTGCTGGACTCCCATGTAGTTGACTATGGTTTGAGATCTGGACCTGGCTTAAACTCATACCAGGTGCGTGTGTGTATGTGCCCAAAACCCCAAGAGGAGAATGGAAGAGAAGGGATTGTGGTGTGGCCATCCCCCTGGGGGGGGGGGGGGGGAGTGATTTCTCACTCTGTCTATCTGTCTGTCTCTATCTCTCTGGTGAGCACACATGCCCTATAACAAAAATCTCTCAAAACAAACCCAAAAAAGTACCATTTAAAGATACCATGGATCATGAGAAGACAGGCAACCATAGTTCTCCAAGTCCTGGCATAGAGACAAGTGGTAAAGCAATGAAACAAAAAAGCAGGAAATGTAAGCTACTTTCACGAAATAAGTTCTTGGCTCTACTTTGGTCCCTACTGCCACACCATCTACAACTCTATAAATGCTAAGTGTCAGAACTGATGATCCTGAGCTGTCTAGGCAAATTGAACTTTCGTTTAGTGTAATAGAGTTGTGTAATACATTTTAGAAAAATATGTCTTAAACATTTAAAAGTTTGTATAACTGAAGGCTTAATTATAGCCGTATGGAAACCTTTCTCTACTATGTATTGAACATTTTTAAGTTAAAAAAAGGTTTCTCCCTGAAAATGGTCATAATCCACTGGAAAACATATATACGTATGATACAGTGACTATAGTAATAAGGGCTTACACAGGTTCTGCTGCAGGGGATAATGTACAGCTTTGTTTGAGGTTGGGGATTGGTGATCAGAAAGATTTGAAAGAGAAGAAGATGTTTTGCTGATTCTTGAAAAGCAGCGAAGACTTTGCCTGAAAGATGGATTTTATTTATTCAGTAGATGTTGCCTGATCCTTAGATTTGAAAGCTCAAGTATTACCATGTTGTTGACTTAACTCTTTCAAAGTAAATTTTAAAGTTAGTTAGTTAGTTAATTTATCTATGAGAGAGAAAGACTGATTGTTTTACAGGGTCTCGCCATGTCAGGATCAAAATCCTCCTGCCCCAGGCTCCCAGCTAGCTAGGTCTGTGGACTCACGCCTGTAGGTTGAGCCTGTTTAGGTTGGGCCAAGAACCAACCCAAGCCTTCGATGTGGCCTCAGCCTCCAAGTAATGGTATCTTAATAGCATGTTCCACCGTGGCTGAGGTGTTTTTGTTTTTAAATGAGAAGTGGGAGAGAGAAATAGAGAAACTTGCTAAAGTGGCCATTGCCATGCTCCTCCTCCCCAGCCTCCCAGGTAGAGAGGATTGCAGAGGAGTGCCAGGGGTTCTGACCTGTTAAGGTTGGTCCAGGATCTGATCCTGGGCCTCCCATGCAGCTGTCTCTGGCACTGGCACCCTGCCACCTGAACCACTGGAGCTGGGCCAAAGCTATCATGGGACTGGTTTGACTCTAAGGAAACAAACTAAGAAACACATTCTCTTCTCAGATCATTACATTCCTGTGTGAATTTCAGTGACAGGTAGTAGGTAAGCAGCCTTTTGTGACTGATGTTTGAACAAACCAGTTATCACTCTAGAACATATTGTACAGTGATTAGTGACTTTCTTTTTCTTTTTTTTTCTTTTTTTTTTTTTTACTATAGGGCACATGCACTTGCAGACAGAGAAACAGAAAGCGAGAAGTCACCCCCCAGGGGAGATGGCCACTCCGCAATCCCTTCTCCTCCGTTCTCCTCTTGGGATCTTGGGCACACATGCACACGCGCCCGGCGTGAGTTTTAAGCCACTGGGTCCAGGACGCAAACCGTGGTCGACTACATGGGAGTCCAGTGACATAGCCATTATGCTAACTGCTGGTCCCTGATTAGTGACATTTTAACAGGAATAGTTCCAGTGTTTCCAGAAATATTGCTGTTTTTGAGTGTTTGTTTTTTTTTTTTTTTTTTTTTTTTTTTTTTTTTTTTTTACTATAGGGCACATGCACTTGCAGACAGAGAAACAGAAAGCGAGAAGTCACCCCCCAGGGGAGATGGCCACTCCGCAATCCCTTCTCCTCCGTTCTCCTCTTGGGATCTTGGGCACACATGCACACGCGCCCGGCGTGAGTTTTAAGCCACTGGGTCCAGGACGCAAACCGTGGTCGACTACATGGGAGTCCAGTGACATAGCCATTATGCTAACTGCTGGTCCCTGATTAGTGACATTTTAACAGGAATAGTTCCAGTGTTTCCAGAAATATTGCTGTTTTAAATCCCTCTTAAAATCTCTACTTTCTACTATAGATTTTTAAAGAGCATTGTGATATTGTAGTAAGAATATTAAGAAGTGGAGACTTTCCTAGATTCTGCATAGACTCCGTAGCTAATAGGCTAGGTAAAAACGTTCCATAGAATTTTCACTTAGGATTGGAATAGATCTTAAGGGGGCATACTATCCTTTAGTAAGAGAATATAGTGTCACGTTGTTTATGTATTCAGTTGTAGAATGTTAATATGCTAGTACATCTTTTTCCAATTTCTGCAGAATTGGTTAGCTTAATGAAAAAAACAACCGATCATTTTTTATGTGTCTTTTTAAGAAAGCTCCTCAGGAGGCTACATTTTACTGAATTATTGAACACAGGCTTTATTAAAAAGGTAATAAGGCTTTTTAGTTTGTGGTAAACAAAAGCGAATAGTGCTTTGAAGACCTAGATATTAGATTGGGTAGATTTTTTATACCAAACAATCTGGCATCCCAACATTACCAAAATAAAAATAAAAGAAGATAAGTTTTATTTCTTTATATATTTTCTTTATGTATTCTTTAAAATTTTTTATTTTAAAAATTTTAAATAATAACTTATTTATTTAATTTCATTTGTTATTGTTATTATTTTTTTTAATTTGACCAGAGAGAGAGAGAAAGAGAAAGTGAGAGAGCAAGCCACCAGGTCTAGAAATCAAATTGCAGTCAGCCACATGGGAGTCCTGTGCCTTTAACCACTATGCCACCTGCCAGCTCCTGTATTTTTTATTTCTTAATGTATTTTTCTCTTAGCTTTTATGAAGTGTCAGAATGTTGAAAACCATAAATATATCTCAGGTCTAATAATTCTGATATGTGGGAAACTTAACAGATGACCATTGTACCTTATCTTTATTAGCATCATTCTCCTGCCAAAAACAAAACAAAACCAAACCCCTAACATTGAAAGAACTTTATTGCAATAGGGGAAGCCTGGGCAAATTATGAGTCGACAGACTACTATATACCTGTTTAAAGGTAGTGATTATTATTATTAAAAGGGAATGGGCTTTTAAAAGTTTATTTACTTTTACTTATGAAGGAGAGAGGGGGGAAGAGGGAAAAGGAGAGGAAGATACTGTTTTTTTTTTTTTAAGAAATTATTTTTGAAATTTTATTTATTATTATTACTATTATTACTTGACCAGAGAGAAGGAGAGTAAGAAAGTCAGTTGCCAGGTCTGGGACTCAAACTGCAGTCAGCCATGTGGGAGTCTAGTGCCTTAATCACCACACCATCTGTCAGCCCCTAGGTACTGATTTTTGACAGGATATCACCAGTGAATTTCCTAGTTCAGCTTCCCAGCGAACTAGGGTATAGTTACCACTATGCCTGGCCTGTTTAGGTTGAGCCTGGATCTGTACCCTGCCCTTCCACGTGGCCCCAGCCTCCATGTAGCAGCATCTCAGCAGCATATACCCACTACTGAACCAAAGGCAGTGATTATTTCTTTTTAAACAATTATTTTATTTGGGGCCAGCAGTTGGCGTAATGACTATGTTGTTGGATTCCCATGTAGTCGACCACGGTTCAAGTCCCGGACCCAGTGGCTTGAACTCACACTGAGCATGTGTGTGTGAGAGCCCAGGATCCTGAGAGAAGAATAGAGGAGAAGGGATTGCGGCTTGGCCATCCCCCCTGTGGGTGATTTCTCACTTTCTGGCGAGCGCACGTGCCCTATAGCAAAAATCTCTCAAATAAAAAAGAATTATTTTATTTAACCTTATTTATTTATTTATTTATTTTGATTTGACCAGAGAGGGACAGAGAGAGGCGGGGGGAAAGTGAGAAAGCAAGCCACCATGTCCGGGACTTGAACTGCTTTTGGCCATGCAGTAGTTCAGTACCCTTAACCACCACACTACCTGCTGGTCCCAAGGCAGTAATTATTAACTCCATGTAAAACGTAGGGAAAAGGTTTATCATAATCCACTTAAAAAAAAAAAAAACCTGAATACCAGTTGTTCCTCTAAGATATCTAATTGAAAATTTAGAAAGTTAGCACCAGGGCCCTTAGTCAATTTAGATGAATTAAGTACTCTTTCCATTTTTAGTTTCCAAAATATAGTTTGAGTCTTTGAAATATGAGAGAGAATGGGTGAATGCTTTTGAGAAGGACCGAAAGTCAATAAATAGCCCAGATTTGCAGGATTTTCTGTGAGAAGACAGCTTCGAATGTTTATTTTTGGGCCTTCAGGCATTTGTTTATTCAGCATTAGGGGTACGATGTAATTGCCTTTCTCTTCCCAAGATTTTATAGTATTTGACCTTATCATTAATTATATTTGATCTTATCATTAACTGAGTGATTGTGACTTCTCAATGTATTGTGACTTTATTTTCAGGATAAGGGAGATCTTGAAGGCATCTCGAAAATTGCAAGCTGATCCGGAGTTGCCCATGTCTTTCACTCTGGCCATAGTGGAGTCCGATTCAACAATAGTCTACTATAAACTTACTGATGGATTTATGCTGCCAGACCCTCAGGTTAGTTTCTAGGTAACTAACACCGAACAGTGAAAAAAAGAGGGAAATTATGACTGATGGTGACTCAGATCATTCATAGACTTGCTGCTTCCCTCCCATGTGGAATACTTAAGGAAAAAAATGGTTTGATATTCATTTTATTCAAAATAATATGCTCTTAGTTATTTTTGCAAATAAAATTTGATTCTCTCACTCTGTGGAGTATTTCATAGTTTCCCCAAGTATTTCATGAAGTCATCATGAATTTGATTATTCAGTCAGTAACTGTGGTGGGATGTAAAAGCTAATAATAATTTTAACCCAAAGAACACTTCTTTAGAAAATGTCAAATTGGTTGATATAGTGACAGAAATATTTTAATTAAATAAATGTGTTATATATTTCTTTATATAGTTTGTTGGCATGGGTGGGATAATTACATTAAATGTGTTTGTAATTTTGTTTTTAAATTATATTATTTATTAGCACAAAGGTCCATCCTGATTTTTTTTTATGTTCCAGAATATTTCCCTTAGAAGATGATATCTATACTTCCTGATGCTCATTTTATTCGTATGATTGCTTTTGAGACTCATCCGTCTGCTTCATCTTTTATCTCAGAGATAGTCAAGGATGACTTAGCTGGTCCCATTCCGTAAGTTTTCTTTCCGAGGAATAAAACTTTGCCAGATAGAAGAATTTTTGTTGTTGTTCAAAACTGTAGAGTGGTTGCTCTAGAACGCCTTTATGTGGAGGCAGTTCAGCTATGGCTGCACAGAGGTTTGTGCCTAGGATGTGTTTGGGGTGGTGCCAGCTGCTTCCGTCACCCCACACTTGGAACTGCCTCATTGCTGCTGCTCCTAGCCCATTGTGGACAGTGCCACTGCCGTCCCTCCCTTCACTCTCTGCCTTTCAGCAGTTTCAGCTAGCCTGCAATGACATTTCATACACAGCATGACACCTGTAGAGTTTATTTCTGTCTGCTTTTTCTTTCTTTATTTTTTTTAAGAGGTTTTTGCTATAGGGCATGTGCACTTGCCAGAAAGACAGAGACAGAGAGACAGAAAGCGAGAAATCACCCCCCAGTGGGGATGGCCATGCCGCAATCCCTTCTCCTCCATTCTCCCCTCGGGATCTTGGGCACGCACACACATGTGCCCTGCGTGAGTTTAAGCCGCCAGGTCCGGGGCTCAAACCATGGTCGACTACATGGGAGTCCAGCGACATAGCCATTACACTAACTGCTGGTCCCTCTGTCTGCTTTTTCATCCCCAGTGAAAGATTTCTTTCATTTGATTTTCCTGCAATTACCATTACTTCCCTCTTTAGTTGATTTTACATCAAAAGTGAAAAAATGTTCCTCCAATGTGTAAACGTACATGTCTAGATGATTAGGGACCAGAGAAGCACTGCCTGCAGGAGTACTGTGCTGTCCCTCACTCTCCAGTCCTGTACGTCATAGCTGGAGTATCACAGGGATAGTATGGGGCAGTGTCAGCTGGAACAGTGTCTTCACTAGACCAGTTTTTCTGCTTTTGTTAATATCTCTTAATTAAACTGTCCAAAGTATGAAGCTTGATATGTACAAATATAGTATTACTTTTAAAAGCCCAAATTAGGAACCACTTAAAAATTTAGGACAAGAGTCAGCAAACGTTCCCTATAGAGGGTCAGAAATGCTTCAGTCTTTGCAGGCCAGAATGTCTCTGTCAGAGCTTGTCAGCACTGCTCTCTATAGCGTGAAGGCAGCTATATACAGGATGTAGATAAATGGGCAACATGTAAACAATTGCTATAGGGCATGTGCACTTGCCAGAAAGACAGAGACAGAGAGACAGAAAGCGAGAAATCACCCCCCAGTGGGGATGGCCATGCCGCAATCCCTTCTCCTCCATTCTCCCCTCGGGATCTTGGGCACGCACACACATGTGCCCTGCGTGAGTTTAAGCCGCCAGGTCCGGGGCTCAAACCATGGTCGACTACATGGGAGTCCAGCGACATAGCCATTACACTAACTGCTGGTCCCTCTGTCTGCTTTTTCATCCCCAGTGAAAGATTTCTTTCATTTGATTTTCCTGCAATTACCATTACTTCCCTCTTTAGTTGATTTTACATCAAAAGTGAAAAAATGTTCCTCCAATGTGTAAACGTACATGTCTAGATGATTAGGGACCAGAGAAGCACTGCCTGCAGGAGTACTGTGCTGTCCCTCACTCTCCAGTCCTGTACGTCATAGCTGGAGTATCACAGGGATAGTATGGGGCAGTGTCAGCTGGAACAGTGTCTTCACTAGACCAGTTTTTCTGCTTTTGTTAATATCTCTTAATTAAACTGTCCAAAGTATGAAGCTTGATATGTACAAATATAGTATTACTTTTAAAAGCCCAAATTAGGAACCACTTAAAAATTTAGGACAAGAGTCAGCAAACGTTCCCTATAGAGGGTCAGAAATGCTTCAGTCTTTGCAGGCCAGAATGTCTCTGTCAGAGCTTGTCAGCACTGCTCTCTATAGCGTGAAGGCAGCTATATACAGGATGTAGATAAATGGGCAACATGTAAACAATACATTTTATTTTGTTCCAATAAAACTTTATTTACAAATGTGAGACCATAGTTTGCCATCCTCTGGTTTAGGGAAGTAGTCAATAAATAAATATATATAAGTGGTACATTGTGTGCTCATTAAGAATTCATAATGAATATTATGAAAAGCATGAGAAAATGTTATATTAAGTTTTAAAATGCACGCTACAAAGGTATATGAATGGGTGTGATCCTGGCCACAAGATAATATACTAAGCGTATAATAAAAAGATGATGACAAAGTGAACTACTAACTGTGATTCTAGTAGGATGACTTTTTCTTTGGCATTTTGTTTTTTCTTATTTGTATTACTTTTATAATAAAAAACATTTAAAAATGAAGTAGTGTCTTGAAATCTGGGCTAGTTGTCTATCATTGCATAGTAATATTAGCACACATTTGCTATCCTGTGATTTTTGTGGGTAAGGCATCTGGCGTGGGTCAGTTGGGCGCTCTCTGAGGCTGCGTTCAGGGTGTTGGCCCAGGCTGCAGGCTCATCTGAGGCTTGACCAGGGGGTGGTCTGCTTCACCACTCATATGAGTGTTAGCAGCCTTCATTCCTTAGGAGGGCTTCCATTCCCAAACGGTTGGCAAAAGGCCACTGTCAACTCTGCCACATGGCCCTTCCCAGCATGACTGGTTGTTTTAGCAAAACCAGTAAGAGAAAAGTCTCCACAGGTGAACATTATAATCTTTTTAAAAACTAATTAATTAATCTATTTATTTGTTGTGATTTTCAAGCCACCAAGTCTAGTACTTGAACTGCGGTCAGTTATGCGGGAAATCCAGCATCTTAACCATTTTGTCACCTGCTGGCCTGTACCTTACTTAGGCTCTTATGTAATATAAAAATGCATGTTCTGGGACCAGCAGTTAGCATAATGGCTATGTCACTGGACTCCCATGTAGTTGACCGCGGTTCGTGTCCCGGACCTGGTGGCTTAAAACTCATGCCGGGCATGTGTGCCTGTGTGCCCAAGATCCCGAGAGGAGAATGGAGGAGAAGGGATTGCAGCATGGCCATCGCCCCTGGGGGGTGATTTCTTGCTTTCTGTCTCTCTGTCTCTCTCTGTCTTTCTGGCGAGTGCATGCGCCCTATAGTGAAAACCTCTCAAGAAAAAAAAAAAAAATGCATGTTCTGGACCAGTCTGTGGCATGGTGGTAAGGTCCCTGGATCCCACATGACCAACTGCATGGATCAGTCCCTGACCCAGTGACTTGGGAAGCGTGCCATCCCAAAACAAGGGAGAAATGGGGAAGGGACTGTGGTGTGACCATTCTCCAAGGGGGAGTTGCTTTCTCACTTCCCTTTTCTCTCTTTCTCGCTCACTTTCTAGCAAGCATACATGCCCTCTGGCAATTTTTTTTCAAATGCACATCCTTTCACCATTGTTATATTTTACTAGTCAGAAGCAAGGCATATGTCTTCCATACAGGGTTTCATGGCTAACTGTTCTAGGAAACAGCAAAAACAAGAATGGAAACATACAACACTGGGAACATAACAGAGTGGTCTAGAAGATCCTTCTTGGTCTGTCATGCTGGGCTCCTTCCCTTTGATGATGTTCGAATTTCACTTTTATGCCTGATTAAAGGTCTTTGTAGCTCCTTCAGACTCTCTCTGCTTCCCCAGGAAAATTTAAGTTACAGCTATTCAGAACAACATGGGTTACTGGGACTCTAGGGGGCAACTTGCAGATCTGAGAGTCCTAAAGCAGTTTATGATAAATTCTCAATGTCTTGATTTTGGTTCCTTTTGAGGCCTTTCCTCACAGTGCTAGAGAAACAATCTACATTTTCAGAATGAAACGTAAGGCTTAATGAATGTCAGCTTTGTGTGTGAAACCAGTGACCAGTAGGCCCTTACTAAGTGCAAGCCTGGAGTGTCTTTTGGGGTTGAATGTGGAAGGCACTATCTCAGATCTTCGGGACTCAATTCTACTGTGCACCCTAGGACAAAAACAAAAACAAACACAAACACAAACAAAAACAAAACAATAAAAAGATCCTCAAGAATATTCTCTCTGAACTTGACCCAACTTATTCTGTCCAAAGCCAGCCAGCTACCTGCCAACATGAATAACAGTCAACAACCTGAAAAGGAGGCAACCCAGCTGTTTCTGTCATTGTGAAAAGCTATGTAAGGGGTTTATTTGATTAAGTAATTGTGCAATTGAGTTTCCCTGTTAGACTCCTTGACTATGGGCACCTTTGAAGAACTGAACAAGAAACCATGTCTTTTTAAAAAATTCATCTTTGTATCCTGTCACATTCCACAGTAACTGGCATGCAGTAGACGCTCAATAAATATTTGGTGAATGGGGAACCAGCAGTTAGCGTAATGGCTATGTCGCTGGATTCCCACGTAGTCAACCGCGGTTCGTGTCCCGGACCCGGTGGCTTAGAACTCACGCCTGGCACGTGTGCGTGTGTGCCCAAGATCCCAAGAGGAGAATGGAGGAGAAGGGATTGCGGCGTGACCATCCCCTCTGGGGGGTGATTTCTCACTTTCTGTCTCCATGTATCTCTCTGTCTGTCTGGCGAGCACATGTGCCCTATAGCAAAAACCTCTCAAAAAAAAATTTGGTGAATAACGAATGAATGTTATAGACTTCGCTTGATTATATGAGTTAGTGGCTTGTTTTTTGCCTCAAGGCAGACTAAAATGACCCATTTGGACACTAGAGGGCACTGCTAGATAAGCATTTCCAACTGGTAAGAGTCAGCCTGAGAAGAGGTACTCTTAGAAATTTTTCTTTTTCTTTTTTTTTCAGAGGTTTTTGCCTTGGGGGCGGCGAGTGCTGCCAGAAAGACAGAGAGGGACAAAGACAGTGAGAGAAAGAGTGAGAAATCACTCCTTGGGGGTGATGGCCACGCCACCATCCCTTCTCCGTTTTCCTCCTGGCATCTTGGGCACGCATGCACACATGCCTGGTGTGATTGTCAAGCCACTAGGTCTGGGACTCGAACTGTGGTTAGCCATGTGGGAATCCAGAGACGTGACTGCCATACCATCTGCTAGTCACCCCCAATTTTTTTTTTTTTTTGAGAGATTTTCGCTATAGGGCGCGTGTGTTCGCCAGACAGAGACATAGAGGCAGAAAGTGAGAAATCACCCCCCAGAGGGGATGGTCACGCCGCAATCCCCTCTCCATTCTCCTCTCGGGATCTTGGGCACG